TCAAATTCCTACACTGTTATCCATTAATAGGTTGGGATTTTAGAATTTTGTTCTAGATCTTCCCAGAATTAAGAATATACAAAGTTTCAAACTTGCTATGCCTTAAACATCTGTTTCTAGAACAAATATGTCTTTCATTGATTTCTGATAGAAAGCTTGTATCTATGTGTGGCAACAGCATTTGACTTCAGATGACAAAATGTTGAAAAATCCCCRGCTGAAATTCACAGTGGCAGACTGAATGGCAGATGTGATGGATTGGATTCTTCATTGTAATCACCAAGAGGTAACAAAATGCTGGTGGGAAGTCTGTGGTCGGCATGGAAATTTAATATAGCAAAACTAAACCTCTGGTCAACAGCTGGATTGATGTTTTTTCTCTGTTCTTCCATTTAAGGTTTCTATTCTATTAGCTGACTATGGGACTTAAGCACAGATCAAGATGAACACAGGCTAACAGAGGTCAGAAAAACATAATCATTCTTCTGAAGATTTGCTATTGAATGTGACTGAATAGGAGTACTTGTCTGTGAAAAAAAAAATGACTGGTTAATCCCTGAACCAGGTGTGAAGTCAGATATTTGCTGAAGCAGCAAGATCTGTTTGTTTGACACTAATTTACCTATCAACTTACTGAATGTTATCTAGAAGAAAATTGTTAATAATATCTTTTCTGCTTCTTTAAAACAGAAATTAGTTCTGTAAGGGCAGAACTGACAATTTACCATCCAAGATGATTTTAGGTTCAGATTCAGAAGCATCAAAGTGGGCTATATCCTATTTAAAACAGACGTTTAATGACTTCTTGTGATCATGGAAACAAGATTTTTACGATAAATAGAAAGCTTCTAACACCAAGATCTTGTCTAAACAGTAGGTGGSAGACTGCTCCCAGTAATCTGTAGGAAGTTGTGACTCAGCCCTTCTTAGTGCCCACGGGGCTGTAGCTAAAGGTGATGTAAAAAGAGATGTAAAGGTGGGGAGATTTCTCGGGTTCAAGCAGTTTACCTACTTTCACAGAGCATGCTGGGGATCCTCGGGTCAGCACTTGCCAGGASAGGGGATGTTGCCTCTACACTCCCTGTGTTATCAGTTCCTAAAGTAAGGGTGGCAGTTGCCCTGCCCTGCAGCAGCTGGGTGACCTCGATCTTGTTTTGGAGTTTGCTGCTGTTGGTGGAAAGCCAGTGCTGTCATGGTTTTGACACCTCTACACAACAATATGCCTGTAGTYTTGTCACTATTTGGAAATCCCTCTTAACTCCAGAGACCCCAAGTAGTTTTTAAACTAAATAGAGTTTAACATGTGGAATTATACGACTGAGGAGTCTATGTAGCCRTAGACCACAGCTTCTACTAATCTCTACATACACAAAGTAGCTGCTGTACTGTACCCAAAAAGCTGAGATCCAGTCTTTTGACAAAAACCGTGGGKKTTTTTTTTGGTTTTTTGGGTTTGTTTTTTTTTTGTGCTTGCCCTTCCCTACATGATAGTAAAGCGGAACAAATCTTTTCTCTTTATAGCAAATTTTATTTTGAATTTAAATTCACCTTGAGAGGTTTCCCCACTGGCCTGCTGCTAATAATTAATGTACCTAAGGATGCACCTTGTCCCTYGTCTTACATATTTCATTATGAGAGAAACTTGTGGTGCTTACAGAAACTGCCTTTCCCATCAACTTTTTTCTCATGCCATTATGTTGCTGACTGCCAAAGACTCTGTCTAGTGTATACCAAGACATTTTTTTAGCCACCAAGAGCTAGGCTCTTGTATCGATGCAGAGGATTGCCCCAAAGACTGCTGAAAASCACACAATCTAATGGTTGATAAACACTTGGGGGAGCTGCCCATCCACTATGCAAAAATTGGATCTGATTTACGGAATGATATAGTTAGCATTCACCAGATTATTTAGAACTTGTTTTGTCACCAGACAAGATCTGAAAGCAAAAGTGTCTATAAGAACATAAATTTTCATGCTAGAAAATATGCACAGTTCCCCTCCCTCCTCCTTTCTATGCGCTTATTCAGACACGGGGGGAATCAGAAGTGGTCTTGTCACAGTAACATTTACTAGGGCTCAGTGAACATGTAAGTACATGGTGAAAAAGAAAAACATCTCTGAGAAGAACAGAAAGAGTAGCTTCGGAGCCATCCCAGTTATTGCCTGACRAAAGAGGTAATTTTCAAAATTTTTAGATTTTATTATTAGGAATCTTCCAAATCCATACGATGATTCCTATAGTATTTACAGTTTTCTTAGAATTTACTTTGAACATATAAGAGTCTAACATCCTTCTGCTCTTCTTAAAGTTTATCATTGTTATTTTAGGCTACATAGCTCTTACTTGAACAGTCAAGACCTATCATCATCAAGAGCCTCATATTAAACTTTGTGTTTTCTCTGATAACAAATATAGACTACATTCTAAAAATACATCCTAAACTAGAGAGATACATCATTATAAATAGCTTGAGAACAAACACTTGAGAAGAGTCAGAGGGTGTTTGCACTCTCCAGAGTGGCAGTAACTTCATTGAAATAAAGGAAGTTTGTTTAGAGTGCTTAGTCTGGTTTTGATAATGCAAGCTATGGCTATGAAAATCTATTAATATTTTTTTCAGTTATTTGTCTGAAGAATCAGGTGAATAAAAGTTAAGTAATTGTATTCTGGCATGCAATTCTGCAGAGCATAGGATTCTTCTTAGGGCTCAAGTGAGGCAGTCATTAATGACAACAGCATTCCATAGTGAAGAAAAGTCTTTACAGAGGATTGGTATTCAAACCATAGTGAAACCTCAACCAGACAACCAGACCAAGCAGCCCAGCTAGTACTTTTTTTGCAGTATTGGTGTTACTGRATGTTGGTCAGAAAGGAAGAGAGAGAAATCAATGGCAACTATGCTTTGGTGCATACACTGAGGTTGAGTGTGGTAGGTAGAATGAAAAGTTGAGGGGATTAAAGACTCATTTGATTCRCATCTCACATCACAAATATTTTGGTGGTTAAAATACGTAAAAGTAAGCTTATAGTACTCACTGTATTGTTGTGCTTCACCTCTATTCTACCAGTAATTCGGAGGTGGAGTAAATAGCCTTACAAGAGAAGACCACTCTGTAATTGTGCTGGAGATGGRCTGAATATAATATAGTGGGCTTAATATAGCCTGTGTTTTCCAGCTTCTTCTTTCTAAACTTTAAGTGACCTGAAGTGAAAATTAAGCCTTTATTTAGCAAAAAGAGATTTCCATGTGCTTATTGGAAGTGTATTCCAGACTACAGTGCTTTTCCATTCTACATCTTCCTTTACCAAGAGGAGTCTACTTGTTGAGTCTGATTGATAAAGCTCTCTTCCACCAGCCTATTGGAGACAGTACAGAAGATTCTCTTGAACTGTTGCTTATATCAGTAGCAAATTATCTCATCTAGATGCAAGTGTAGAATGCCATGTCTGAATTGTTCGTTTAAGTGCCCTGAAGGAGCTGGCCTGTACTGTAAAAGTATTTCTGTATATATGTGGTCTAATTAAATAAGTGAAGAAACTGTTGTACAACAAGCAATAATTCATTAATCAGATCTATTTTAATATTAAATGCATGTGTTTCAAAAATTCTGAATGAGACATAGGCTTCAGATCTGCTTCAGCTCTTGCTGCTTCCTGAAGAGCAGCCAGGACAAATGCTGAGAATGCCTTAGAATGGAAAGAATGAAGGAGCTGCACTTCCAATAAATACTGGCAATGTCTTCAGACATCTCAACAGTTGTGGGTATTACAAAATTTTGCTAGTCTTCCTGCAATTGATACAAATGCTTTCAAGACTTGAATGTTAGAGAATGGAGRAGATGTGCTTTCCATTTTGGACCTTAAATTATGGGGATTTGAGTCCATATTACAGGGGTTTGAGACCATGTCTCATCTTCCTAAAGAAAAGACTTCATGATCAGACTTCCTTTTACTACTTTTCTTTCCATAGTTTCAGTTTATAGAGTAGATGAGCTAGGACAATTGCTATGTCCTCTGAAGTCAAGCGCTCCCTGTAGGTAGAGAGCAAGAGATTTAGCTGCTGTAAACAGAGCACAAAGAAATTACCTTTTTTTTGACATGCACATGACTGCAGCTAAATATATAGAGAGACAAAGCCAGGAGTATTTCTTTTGCCTCTACCTACTTTGAATAAATGGTATTGTTCTTCTGTCTACAGATTTTTGAAAGGGTAACTAACCTCAGTGTACAGGAGGGACAAATTTGACAAGGCACTATGAGTCTGAGGAGAAAAAGTAGTGTCATTCTAGTAAGAGAAGTTATGGAAATTAGCAAAAAAGGTCTTTGTCATTTTAACTGTCTTTCCAATTGTACTTGATCTCCTAGATGTGATCTTGCAGGTCTTTCCAGTGCTATAATCCCTTGGAGTTGATGTTGCCTAGTAATAGGAGGGACCATGTAATGTAATATTTCAAATGATGTGCTATTATTTCAATAGCAGCTTGTGTTTATCTATTTGAGTATTAATACTTGGCAATTTATGATGAAGAAGCATTAGTGTCTAAATCAATRAAGTTAGCTGTTTATTGGTAAATGTCCATCTTTCATCCCCATCTTTATAAGAAATGCAATAAGGAGTACAGTAGTTTCAACTAKTCATGCCAAGAATACAATTTTATGCAATATTGCTGACATTACCTCAGCATGGATTTGTATGGGGCAAGGTTATATGCCTAAGAATTAGCCAGTCTCTACTCTCATCATCATTCTCAATTTCCAGCATGGTAAATCATTAATATTCCTTGTGGCATAGAAGTTTTAACATTTTTTTTGTTTGTGGAGAAAAATTTAGAAACATAACC